CATGAGCATTGGTTACTGGTTTTCTCATGAAATTTCCCTCTCTCCCCCCGATGCACAGCTGTCAATAATACTGTGTTGGCACTGCAACTATGGTGGGGGGGGGAGACTGACACACGAACATGTTAGTTTGCCACAATTTAGTAAGCACTACACAATTTCGACCATCATGGTTATCCAGTGATCCATTTATTGAAGCCAGAAATGTTGATTGTTATCTTGACTGTCTGTGGATTGTTGAAGTTATACCATTGTTGAGGATAACACATTCTAATTCAATATTTACTGGACCAGTTATCTGGTACTGTTCTAGCACAGACAACAAGGCATGAAACAGGGTTTAATTTTCAGATTGAACAGTATTTCTTACTTAATGGTAACACACTGAGGTCTGCTTGACTCGAGCGCTTAGTATATTAGCGATTGTGCCAAGATAATGTACAGTATGCTGGTATATACTTCTCGAATCATTCAAATCCAGCTGGTGGGAAGGGACGTGCCACTCACCTCGCTAGTTCTCACTGAGTGTATCCTGTCACATAATTTGCTTCTCTAAGTATGGGATATTCCATTTTGATTTTCAATATGGGTCTCCGGGACTACTTATTCGGATGTTTTCTTACCATACTGTCACAGATTACAAATTTTCGTCTAGTGTATGAATTATTCAACTAGACAGTACCACCTGGTACGCATGCCTTAAGAGCAATGATGACCGCGAAATCGATCACCAAAGGTAAATATCCCTTCTGTCTAACTATTTTCGATTGAAATACTATCCCCGACCACCACACCGATGGAATTTCTCTCTATTTCACTGCATATTGATTTCAACCGAGCATTCTTGAGAATCTATCCTAATAAACACCTCATAGTTCATCCAGTCAACCATACACACAGGAAGCCTCAGACTTTTGTGACGCTATTGCTAGAGCTCACCATCAGTGCGCATTCTACGCCCCGTCCGGGAGTTTAGGTTAACAGGTGACCAACTATCTCGTTTCGGGGCCCACTGTATTAGTGGAGTATCATTTAGAACGAAATCTGCCTAAGCTTGGATTGGTTATTCTGGTCAGCCTCGATATGGGATAGCAGAATAGTAACTAATATGCCTTAATTGCCATGGGTCTGTAGTTCAAACCCCGAAGCAATCGTAGCATGTGCTTTGCTGATGAACTCAACTGAGAGCAAAAACATTGCCATAAACATTCGTGTTTCCCGTCAGATGTTGACTGCTGTCATCAAAATAAGCATTCCTTTTCAAAACAGTAGCCTGTTTACTAGTCAAAGCCATTCAAACAGCCATGTTATTTGACCAGTAACAAACCCTTTCGATAATAAAACATGCTGTTCAGATCTAGATTAGTTTTCATCTCAATCTGTGTTGTATTATTGTCTTTGGAGTATTGTATTCGTCCCCGGTAATGGATAAATGGAAAAGGATAGAAAAATATCCCATTGGTTACAACTACGCCAACAACTTGAACAATTAACCTGTACTTAGAAGTTCATTCGGTGGACTCCGGTGGATTCTAATGAAAACATGTTGTGGCAGTCAGCCGACATGCTAATTGTCTTATGCCCCATGTCTGTGTAAGTTGGGTAGATGATTTGAATAGAAACTGATCAGAGTTATGGGTGTTGCTTCGTAGCTCAACTGGTAGAGCGTGTGCTGTAATAAGGCATGAGCGGCGTCCATGAGTCCCACCGAGGTTGCCGAGCTACACGTTACCTCTGTGTAGAAACTGCATCTTCTTGTATGGAAAATAACTCTATCTAATAGCCTCATATGAAATATTAACTGTATTGTTTTTTCCTAGCAATATAGCAAGCATAGATTTGATGCTTTTTCCGGTCATATGAGCGATTTATCCTGTGTACTCTAAAGAATTTTGTTCTTAGCAGAATTGCAATCAGAGTTCCTCACCACCACATTTTGAATCAGTCAGATCATTGTCATCGCTTAGGCGTGTGTACCTAAGTCAAATTGATTCACAATAAGAATGCACATATCTCCCTGTCGCTCAGTGTATTCTGAGGCCGTAGATAAGCAAAATGGAAAGAGTAAAAACTGGTTTCTACCCATTCCGGTTGCCAGACTGTTTGCGTTTTGACGAGTCACGTTGTACTCTGGCTCAAATATAATGCATATTTCATAGGGCTGTCTGAACGCCAAACGAAAAAAAAGACGTGTAATAATTTATCGAATGGAACTTGGTAAGTGGACGACAAAACTGTGAGTTCTAAACATTAGTAAGAATCAGGGACATTTATTACTTCCCGTTATATCTAACCATGTATTACCTGTACAAAAAACTAAGTTACATTAAGCTTCGGCAAACTTCGAATTCGGAGCAGCATGCTGATCTTGTATGCCCGTGGGTTTTTAACAGCCCACAGGGTGCAAAAAGCACTAAAGAAACATTTTGCGATAATTGAAATTTAAAATCAGAAAAGTGAAACTGTCAGAAAAACATCAACTAGCTGCTACAACATTTGTGGGATTTAACTAACAGTACGGAGAGGTGCAAATGGTTCATTTGTTCCGCCGTGGCTGTCTACTACAAGCCTGCACTGCCTGCCAAAATAAACGGCTATCTATCACCTCAAAGAACAGAAAGTTGGCCACGTGATATGTTTTATTATTGCACGAGAGGAAACCATAAAAGTTATTATTAAGCTCAGACATGTGTCCATATTCGATCGTTTTACCTCGGTATCCAGTTACCTCTTCGTGTGAGTTCATCTCATGCTTTGTTCATTTTTACTTCCTTTAATTGAATACACAATGATACAATTTTCAGGAAGGGGGAGGCGGCCAATCAAAGGGCTGCCATACAACGCACAAATGGAAAAGTCAGACGGTCGAAGTGAAATTCGAATACTCGTCCTCCGGAGTGCTAATTTGTTGACGTTACTACCGGACCAACACCACATACTCACTCGCACATGAGAGTTGTTTGCTATGCAATTGAAATGTGGGACTCCGGATAACTCACGCCACAAGGTTTACATGTAGGCTAATTTTTCAAGGCGGATACTGAGCCGATTAGTTGATCGGTTCTAAATTATGGATGGCTATCAACAACACCCGGGGACGCTACGGTTCATTTACCGCAATTTACCCATAGTGGTACCGTTGTTTCGACTATATAACTCATCAAAGCCGCACTGAACCTTGGAATTATAACAACAGAAAGACGTTCGTGTACCCACCAGGGTCACCTGAATTCAATCCCGACGAACATTTATAGAATCACTCGGGTAAAAGGCGCTAAAACAAGATACTTTAGGATTCAAAGAATGCTTTGGTAGAATAAAAAAATCATGTGTCACAAGATAATATCAAGTTCAGTAAATATACTCTGAGCAAAGTTGATGGACATGCGTCTTCCTTCGGTATACAATGTACTACGCCTCGACACCGATTCAACTAACTTCCTCCTCTACCGGTATAAATCGAACTTCACTCCTCTTTGAGAAGTGGTGTTCTCATAAGCCTCTATTGTCCGTTTACGGCCGTCTATTCTCATTGCGATAAGAATCTCCTCCTAAGTTCTATTTGTGGCAGAAGCGAATCGAGCAGTATACAATCCCACCTCGTTCCGCAGAGTAAAGCTAGAAAGAAACGTTTGCCCGAACGTTGAATGAACAGCCCATTCACAAAGTACTGAAAATTTTCTCCACTGCCAAAGACAAGAGAGAGTACCCGAAATCGAATGCATTGATGTTTCTCGTTCTTGTGCCTGACTACTTACACTCAAAGACAAACAGCGTTGTTCAAAATTTCTACGGAAAAGCGATGCTGTTTCAAAGTTTGCCCTGTTTCATCCCGTATTCAAAATGCCCCACGGACAACATAAGACAGTCACGTAAGTTCGCTGCTGTGTCCACTCACCAGAATGACTTCGATGACACTTATGTTCGCTGGAGCAGATTGCATTTTGTAGGGCACTGATTCGGAGAATTATTCACTTGTATGCGATTGACACATTAACCATTTGTTTAGAATGTGGACTTGGTCTTGAGCTCAATTGAATAAATAACGACAATTTTATATGTAGAACTGTATGTTCACGATACTGAGACTCCAACGAGTGCAGTTTACCATTCCGTTTCAACTTGTATGAGTTGTGTCTTGTTTCCTCCTTAGGGAACACCATAGTACCCAATCACGTGAAATTTTATACCTTTTTCTGACAGTCCACACTAACCGGTGCCCAGTTAAGCGAGCCAGGTATGGGTTGGTGGTATCAGTTTCAAGTGGCCGCAGTCAATCGCTGGGGCTCTCGTGGTTTCGAGCTCCCCACTCCTCCGGTCCAGTTGACCAGTCATAAACCTCGACCACCATCTGCGCCACGAGACTTGTCTGACGGTATACTGACATTACATGCCAACGGGGAAATTCGAGTAGAGATACACTGGTCTCCACCGGCTTTGGCCAGCATTCCAGTGACAGAATATCGGGTGAGTATCTTTTCGGTTTTGTCCTATAAATCGTATTATCTACAGCGGAATAGAAAAAAAATGGTTTGGACTACTCAGTTTATCACTAGCTTGAACAGTGCTTCTTATTCACATAACGAGATCCTACATTTCTATGTCTTCATCTATTCGGCTCAAGTAAAATAACGCTTATCTAATGAACCGTGAATTGAGGGACTATCTATTTATATGTCCTTAATAGAGAAATACTGTTTTAAAGCGTTCCCTCCGGAGAAATAATAGACATAAGGCATAGTGAGATCATCCTTGTTAGTCACGGACATTTTGAGTTTAGTCAAGTGAGAATGAAACGGTGAGCTAGTGTCATCGTCCGAATTCTACGAAAACCAGTTGAAGCGTGTCACATGAAAAGAACTAACTAGAAAAATGAGCAAAACAATTCATAACTTCCAATCAAACTTGGGTTACGTATCTCTTCTTATCTATTCCACATTTACCTGATTTCCTTGTTAACATGATACCGTAATTGACAGCCGCAAATGTCACGGCTTACGATGCCTTTGTAGTGATTCATAAAGACGATGTTGCTGCAATTTAACCGTCGTCAGTTCAGACAGTTAATTATGAAAGTGCGATAAGTTTTTGGTTAAAACTCACCTCAGTGCAGAAACCGAGAATCAACCGCTTACTGGTTGGTTTCAATCTAAGTGAATCACTCACTTCCCAATGTGTTTCAAACTACCAGTTTTCATAACGACGGAATTAGAAACTTTTTGAACATGACAGTTTGTTTGGTGTTATTATTCCAATCTCCTTCACTTGGGCTTTCTCATTGAAATGGATAAACCAGCTGAATGATGATCATGAAGTTTCATGAGAGTTAGGCACAAGAAAATTCCCCCTGTGTCACAGCTAGTTTCTCGAGGACGCACCCTTAACCTTTGCACAACCAAATATAAAATTCATGGTGGCTCTCGTGGAAACCATTGACTATTGGATAGTTGTGAATGCGACCATGTCGCTATGTCAATTGACCCGGTTTCCATTATAGCCGTTGGCTGAAGTAGTACTTTCATCTGTTCACTAAAGAATTAGTGACTGCACGCAGTACACTATCTCGCTGAGATTCTAGGCCTCGGTTATTCTGAATCGGGTTTAGAATTACCTTTCGAATGGCCCTTTGGGCACGGCCAATGATGCCTTCCTCACGTCTTTGAGTCACAGATGAGATTTGGGTTCGAGATCAAGGAGGTGGATATATAAACACCCCAAGGGTCATCAAGGTCTCCCACTTTGGTGGAGTTACTCCCATCACAATTACCTTAAAGCCGTAATTAGTGCCGGACCAGAATGGTATGCGTATCCGAACAGTTTTACGAGACCCCGGAATAGCTTAAATCAAAAACTTGAAACGGGGAGTATTTAAAATAGACAGTTCTTAAGATGAGTGTGCAATTACATACCATGACAATCCCATTGTTTCCCAGTGTATAGTTTCAATGTACAACGGCTTCAGGTGTAGTTTCACCTTAGTGATGAAAACTGACAGCTGTTTCACGTCATTGGGTCTCCCAGTCATAAAAGCCTTTTATCTTTGATGGATCATGGGAATCTATCGATGCGGACGTGCAAAGTCCGAACCAAACAACATAGATCAAACAAAAGTTGAAATTTTCAAAAAATCAAAGGTTATCAGTGCTAACAAAAATAGGAAGGTGGACAGAAGAAATCAAGTCTTTTAGTCTAAGTGGGTTATCAGGGAAACATTATCTTCTGTGGCCCCGGGGGCAAGACGCGGTAGTCGCTGATGCAACATACTACAATAGAGGTCTGAGATACTGAAGGTTTTGCTGATTGTTTGTGAAAATATCATTCACCTGAACACCGAATCGGACAAGGGATGTTAAGAAGGATATCTCAAGGATTACTCTGAACCCGTCACNNCTGTGTGTGTGTATGTGTGTGCAGAAGGAGTCAATAAACAAATCAATATAGGAAGCAAGCTCTTAAGTGATAATGCCAACGTCAGCTAATATGGTATGATGAAACCTGTGGAGTAAACGGACTAACAGCAGACTGTATAGAAAGTTCATTTATCGAATTCTTCGGGAAATACCAAATCCATCCCATTAGTATTTAGTCAATTTTCCGGAAAGAGACTCACTCCCCCATTCTTTTATTCCTTCTCAGGTACTATGCTTTTGATATCATCGAGTTTCTCCACGAGAGAGAGAGAGCGACTGATACTCGAAACAAGATGTCACGGTCATTTTATCAACGGAAAGTAGCGTGGTACACGCTAGGTAGCACGATGTTTAGTTTGATGTCATTAATCATTCCTCGTTGATCGCTTGCAGCGCTCCATCAAAGAATGAGCATAGAAGAGGAATTGGCGATCACGAGCTATAAAATACAGCGATATGAAAATATGTTCAACCTCAGAATCATAGCCGACCTTGAAATTTCAACGAATCGATGCGAATTTAAGCATTCAGTGTTTCCGTACTTTATTTTGCCAAGTAATATCCAATAGAAACAATGCACGACTGAATTTAGAGGCCCCTCTACACGCTGATCGACGCTACTCATTCACTTAGCCNTGATCCAACAGAATTCGGTAAAAGTAACTGTATGCCAGAACTACGGTCTATCACCCTTTTGTTAGATATATTTATTGAGTAAAAATCCTGACTGCTGAGCTAAAACATTAACATTAAGATTCCTAGTTAGTGATTGCCATTTTGTTTTGCATTTTATTTTTCGTTCTTATAACTTTCATACATTACAACTGATTAGTAGCTTGAATTTCATGAATTTCATATTACGATATGCAACGAGCACAGTGCTCAAAATCCCACAAACGTATGAACGAAACGTTTGCTAGCCAGGCTTGATTAAACCATAGTTACCTAAAAGTTAAAGAGAAAGCTAGTAATCAATCTAAAACATTACAACAAACAGGTGGAAAGTGTGCTGTCGAACAGTTTAGATGTGGTGGTAATTCCCCAGGAATAGGTTGAACACAGTAAAGAAATGTGCTCACATTTATGCGACAGTACTGATGTTCATCATCAAGACAATCATCAGGTATTTGTAAAAACTGATCTGAATGGAAGAGCCAAAAAATATCAAAATACTAATTTCATCGGGTTGGAGGGACTGGCGTCCAAAACGAGAAGTGATTACCCCCAAGCAACCAATACTGTCACCCAGGTCCTTCGAGTGAATGAACGAGAGTGTGTGTGGAAAAGAGTCTTTCTTGATAATGGGGCGTTCGAGGTGATGGTTTTCATATTGAAATTTTCAGTTCACATATTTCTGAGGCATCGAAGATTGGTCCGTTTCAGTCCGCCAGTGGTTGTCAACTGGTTGATCCGTGCGCTGTTTAACTGGTGGACGGACTGTATCTCCCTTACCGTGGTTACATCAATTGTGCTTCGCGCATCGGCCGGTCATGCCCTTCAACTGGTTTCCGATCAAATGAGCATGATCAGTTTTAAGCCGACTTCGGGTGGGAGAAGCCCCGGGGTTGGTACAAATGCATTGTCAATTCATGGTAGCAATCGGCCAGGCATTATACTATAACCACTCCTACCAACGATTGAAACTAGGTCAGTCTCGCTCTCCGTACGAGCGATAAGCTGCAGAGCATTTGATATCCGTTCGTCTCTATCTTGCTTCTCCCGTTCTGAACCGCGATCGTTGATGTTGCTGTTGCCCCGTTGCGGTTTCCACTGGCAGTGTTCATTTCGAAACAGCGAGACTGTCAACGTGGCCATACCGCGATTTAAGTGCACGAATAATCCCTCACTCTGAATAACGCATCAAGGGCTTGTTTTATTCGCTTTCGTGTTGATGTTTTTGTCTGTCCGCCTTTTGTTCCCGTTAAAAGCCCATTCCATTAACCCTCCCCTCTGCGGGTGGTCTGCTTTCGTTCTATGATTGTCACAATCGTGGCCAGGTCCAGTGATACACCTGAGCACTAAATAGGGGTTCCGGTGGGGGGGGGGAGGGGNATCTACGGGCAACAGCGGTTTGTGCAAATCCGTCACAAAAGTTCATATGAAATGACAAACATACTTTTGTCTTTGGTTTGTCCAATTGCTGCATTGGGCGATGGATTTAAGATTGTTGTATGCCGCTGGGGCTTAAGTCATCGCTAGGTCTACAACAGCTATGCCTCTCGGTCATACCAGTCCCTGTTCTACTGTGCCCACGTGGCCGCCGATGAATTGGTGTTTGTTTGTTTGTGTGTGTGTGTGTGTGTGTGTGATTAATTCCATACATATCCT